TTTAAAGATTGAATATGGAACACAGACACTCTGGCAAAATCTATTGTTTAGAAGTGGTTGCTGCAACAACAGAAAACATTTTCCAGCCAGTTGGTTCACTGCTGACACGTTAAGTAACCAGCCAGCACCATGTCCAGTGACAAATCGTACAGGGTGAGGACTAATTACTACTGTTTATTTTACAACAACATTTACTATTAGAACATCTTCTGGGCTCAGAAGCAGCTGCTTGGCATGTCAAGTTTGCCATTTTATACAGCCCCAGCTTCGCCTTGCCAAGTGGACTTTTTAGCACAACGTTGCCCTCTAGTGGCTGGTAGATGTAAACATAAACCCAGTGTCGTGCCTGACAAAATTAAAATTTGATAATTTATTTTGTTAAATATAGCTTTTGAAGGACAAACTGTGCGTTCACTCTGCACACCTCAAAACGCGCTGTGTTTTTTTAATTATAGCTTTTTAACTAAAATGTTCCATATTCCACCTTTAAGCCTGGCTGATGCAGAGCTTATGAACTTTTCACTGACAAGTAAGTCTCTAAAATATAAATATATGAGAACATAACATGACATGAGAGTAATACTTGTAAAACAACGTATTTTAGCTGTTTGTCTGCTACAGAAGCACATTTATAAACAGAGACGTGAAGTCGCCATCTTACAAAAAAAAAATGGAAGGAGTGTGATATACTTGTCAGCCACTAGATATTGCCATCGGATAAGATAAATACTCCAGAAAGAAACTAATAAATCTTTAGTTTTATGTGTCTTTTATTTGGGTTTTGTTTCACAACACCATTACATGACAGAAGATTTGACCAAATGGACTAAGCAGGTGAGCATTTGGTGTGTGGAAGATTCTTTGCTGGAAGCTCAACCAGCTCATGCCCGGTTGTTGAGATTTCAACACATCCATTCTCTCTTCCGTTGGTTGAAGGGACTCCCACCCACACGGATCCAACCACCTGGGCACGGGATGGGCGCTGTGTCCCCTGGATGCTGGTTGTCAGTGCTGGCAATGTGGTGCTGCTCCTGATGTCCTCTGCAGCGTACCAAATTGTTTCCTGGGTGGTTGGATGGAAGCTTATGGAGACCGACCCCAATTTCAGGTCTTGGGATGGGTGTTGTGTCCACCAGGATCTGGCCAACGATGCAGTCCACCAGTACCATATGTGCTCCTTACTGACGTCTCTTTTACCGGTGGGTCAGATGGGTTCGTTGCAGCCTGCAGAGACTCCTCCAGAGTAGCAGACTGCCGATTTTGCTCAACAAAATCACAGCAGTGCACTTAAATGTTATTTCATAAACTTCCACACCACAGAATGCTTTGCAATACATGGTTATTCCTGCAGACTTGATATTTCTGCAAGAAGTGCATGTAACATTATGATGCTGCCATTTGTTCCCCTAGTGATGAGACAGTCCAAGTCACTTCAACTTTTTAAGTCCCACCTTAAAGGGAGACTAGGCACTTTTGGCTTGATTTAACACCCCCTAGTCTCCGTTTGTAGATTCGAAACCAAAATCAATCTAACAGTGGAAACATCTCCCAGCCTTCCTTAGTGTCTACAGGAGTGATTCATCACTAAATTAAACAAATCAGCTGTGTTCACCATCTAAAATATACAGGAATCAGACTTCAGAGCCAGGTATGTTAGCACATTTTTTTCCAAGTCCAACAGACCGGACCAGCAGCTGTGAAGTTGCAAAAGGGTGATGGGGCTGGGTGACCTTTCATTAACCCTGTAAAGGGTCATTTTAGCACATACTGGCACAAGAAAATTATTTAAAAAATATGATAAATTTGCATCATATCCCCTTTAAGACACATTTTTAATTCTTGCTTTTGGAAGTTGTTAGTTTGCTAACCTAAGCATCTTAGTTGGACATCTAGTTTGAGTTTATTCTTTTACTGTGTATTTTTTTAATATCTCCTAGTACTTTACCAATACTGTTCTTTAGGTGTTTAACTGCCTTTTACAGTTGGAATTTTATCTCTTGTTTTGTATTTTATCTGGTCTTCCTTCATGCATATTGACTGCTTTGTGCAGCACTTTGATCAGCTACCATGATGTTTTAGAAGTGCTTTATAAATAAACCAGACCTGACCTGATGTGTTCCTGCACAACTTCAAATATTTCAGGTTTAAACAGCTTAATGTTGAATATATATATATATATATATATATATATATATATATATATATATATATATATATATGTAAGGTAGTGACTGGAATAAGTCACAAGGTGTCACTGTTGAGCTGGATATATATTGTAGATTTTAGCAATTTTGACCATTTGTCCTCTGCAGGACACCGTAGTTCAGTTTTATCGTTCGCGCGGGCGCCATTTTGGGTTCAGTGTTTACTGTGATTTGTAAAGGCCAGCAGCGGAGTCGGAGTGGTGTTTGCCCCATCATCTAAATAAAGAAAAAGACGGCGCGGTCCGAGCCACAAATTGAACGCCTGTGTCCGACTGGTCTCTCTATTGTGCACCCCAATCCAACACAAAATTACACAACGCAGAGTCCGGGGTGTAGGGAGGCCCCTGCACGGGTTGGGTTACATCTTTGGTGCCGTGACCCGGATTTGTGGCCCCTCGAGACCGAAGAGAAACCAAGGCTGTCACCCCCCAGCTACGTCGCTACAGTAAGAGGTGTTGCCACCTGATGGGGTACTGAACTAAGTTATAACTGCCTGTGCAGCTGTATTACTGGGACTTTCACCTCCTTTGAAAGTGAAATCTTGGGGCAGTTTTATTTGAGGGTTTTCTGTCGTAGAAAAAAAAACTCAGAGACTTGAATTGAAGCAAGGATGTTAAATGATGTTCCCTGTCTATAATGACAATCATTGAATATGGTTAAGCACTTGCTGCTGATTTGTGTCATTCACAACCTCGGGACTGAATATAGTTGTTTAACTGCATTCTGAGTTTGACGCTGTTTTTCTGTGTGAATTCTTTTTTGTTTTGCGTTATGAGATGATAGTTGTCATACATCTGTGTTGTGTTCTATTTTACTAGAAATATATTGTACTTATTCCCAGTGAAGCCTATTACAAGTAACCCACACTTAATTTCCTGTGCAGCTAAATTAGAGATACAGGACAGTAAAAATGATGAGGGACTATGCAGACACTCCAAAGAGGGATCAGCATCACTTTTTGAACGAAGGGGCAACAGCTAGCACCAGTACAGTGGACCAACAGTCATCAGGGAAGTCGAAGCTGGTCACCCAGTTCCCTAGTTTCACTGGCCAGCGGTTACAGCACCACACCCCAATCAGGGGCCTCACCGACTCTGGGCCGACCACACAACAGACCCCACCACCACCCATGCTTTCACCTCAGACTGATCGTGGTGTGGCTCCGGCTCGTGCGCCACCACTGCCCGGCTATGGAGGCCAAATGCAGGTGCCCCCACACCCATCTGAAATTCGCCCACGGTCAGTGCCAACCAATCAGACAAGCCAGTCCAACCACAGCCCCATAACTACAGCCCCTCCGGTGTTGCAGCCAGATGTACAGATAACCATGCCCCCTGTGTTTTCCCCTCAGGACAGTGGCCATGGTCCCACTGCTACACCGGCTCCCCATGTTGCCTCATATCCCAACTACCCAATGATGACTGTCCCTTTCAGCTCCCAAGCATACACCAGCTATCTGTATTCCACACCTGCCCCCCAAGCCACCATGCCAAGCCCCCTAACACTGCAGGGAGTGGGCTTAATGAACAATCCCTCTGCAGCCAAGCTGACCCTTGAAAGTTCAAATCATGGGCGGACCCCCTGTGTGCCCCACACACGACACTCAAGCTCCCCTCCCCTCACCCGCTGTAAGCCCCGACACTGTCATGCCCCCTATCGTGAACATGACCCAGGGAGGTTTTATAGCTCCACCCGGCACCCATGCCTCAATGCACGTACCACCCACCGCTTCAGACCCCCAAGTTAGTGGACACCCTGGCATATTCCCCCAGCAGGTACATACTTCTTTAAGTACTCCTGGCAGGGCTGCAGCCAACGTTTACTCCCCACTAGCTGCCTACGGTGGTTTTATACAGACTCACCAAGTGAAAATGTCCAAGTCTTCACCGGCAGTGCTGACAGTAAAGTGCTCGTAGAGGACTGGATTCGTGACATGCAGTATCTTCTTGAGGCAATAGAGCTTCCCGTCCACCTCCGCTTTTCCACGGTGGTGCGTCACCTAACTGGTGAAGCCCAAAAGCTGGTTTTGAATCTACCTCTCCATGACCTAACACCCGAAAGGGCATTCGAAGATCTGAGAGCAGAGTACGGCGACACACAGAGCTCCTCAGATCTGCTAGCTGACTTCTATGAGCGTGTTCAGAGGTCAGGGGAGTCTGCCTGTTCATATGCTGTAGCACTGGAAGCAACGCTGCGAGCCGTGGAGGAAAACCAAAGAGGAGGCAAGCCTTTCCCTGACCGTGACAGTAAACTCACCCGACAGTTCATACGGGGGATTAATGATGAGGATGTATATGCGAGAATCTCGCCGATGAAGCCCCGGCTTTTGAGTTTCCGTGAGCTGCAGACTGAGCTTCGAAATTTAGCAAAAGAAACTAAGAGATTCCAGCCTCAAAACAGGTCAAAGAAGACTTATGCTCAGGTACAAGTGGCATCGGAGTGTAGTGTGAATGGGAAGGCAGAGAAGGCCAAACATTCCTCAGAGTGGTCTGAGCTAGCGGAGATGGTCAAGAAATTAACATTGAGCCAGGAGGAGCAGATGGCCAAGTTGACCCACCTTGAATCAAGAATTAATGCTCCATCCTCTGCCACTCGACTGAGAGTCCGACCACCTCCTGGGGCTACAACACCAACATCGGTGGTCACATGCTACCGGTGTGGGAAGCAAGGACATATAGCACGGGTTTGCAGAGCAGTGCTCCCAGGGCCTGACCAGACATGGCCACATGATCCTCAACCGGTGACTCCCATGGAGGGAAACACTTACTCAGCTCAGCCTTTAAACAGATAAAGCCCATGGTCGCTGGGGCAACCATGGGCGAGCAGCAAGTCCTCACACTGCAGGTGAACAAAGGTGACGGAGGAGAAGGCACTCCCCTAGTTGGTCCCAGGAATGAGGGGGAGGTGGAAGTCAACGGGATGAAGTGCAGGGCACTCATCGACTCTGGCTCCCAGATAACCAGTATTACGCATCAGTACTGGCGCAGCCACCCCACCCTCCATAAACAAAAACTAGAGCCCTCTAAGATACCCATAGAAGGTGCAGGGGGCCAGAGTGTCACCTACCATGGTGTGCTACGCATTAACCTAAAATTGTTGGGGAGAGAGTTTAAGGGTGTGTCGGCTTTTGTTGTCCCTAACACAGAGTACCGCTCCTCGGTTCCTCTGCTTGTGGGAACTAATGTCCTCCGTGCCTCCAGAAGCCACCTCCAGGCCACCTACGGCCAGCAGTTCCTTCTCCAGGTCAAGGAGACTCATCCGGAGTGGTACACCTCCCTGCTAGAGATTGGGAACACTGAACAGTGTGATGTGGATGACACAGTGGGCCCCGTCGTTTACACTGGCCGTAAGGTACAAATTCAAGCAGGGAAAGAGATGGATTTAAGGTGCAAAATAAAAGCTGGACCACAAAGAAAGACATATACAGCCCTAATTGAAGGCCACCCCTCCGTGCGGCTCAGCCAAGACATCCTGGTCGCCAGAGTTCTGGCTGATGTAAAGAAAGGATGTGCCCCAGTAAGGGTGATGAACCTCTCCGAGCATGCTATCACTATCAAGCCTCACACACATCTGGCCAAGGCATCACTGGTGGGAAGTATTGTGGACTTTTCAGACAGGATGCAGGGCGGTCATCATATTAGCGGAGGTGGAGAAGCATGTCTGGGTATGGGCCATGTGGTGGCAAGCCAAGAAGTGGATTTAAGTGGAGCAGACGTCGAGAACGAGCACCAGCGCTCCCTTCTTAAAGAGCTTGTGGAAAGGAACGTGGGTGTGTTCTCACAACACCCCATGGATTACGGCCATACAAAGACTGTGCAACATGAAATCCCTCTGGTTGACTCTAAGCCATTCCGACTGCCTTACCGTAAGATCCCCCCATCACAGTGGCAGGATGTGAGAAGGTTGCTGACAGAAATGGAGGCAGCAGGAGTTATCAGGCACAGCAAAAGCCCATACGCTTCACCTGTTGTGATCGTAACCAAGAAAGATGGATCACTAAGGCTGTGTATTGACTACAGGAAACTGAACTCCTGTAGCACGAGAGATGCTTTTCCTCTCCCCAGAATAGAGGAAGCCCTGGAGGCTCTAGGCCAGGCAAGATACTTCTCCACCCTTGACATCACTTCTGGTTATTGGCAGGTGGAGGTGGCAGAGCATGACAAACACAAGACAGCATTCAGCACCCCCATGGGGCTGTTTGAAGCAAATCGTATGCCTTTTGGACTGCAGAATGCTCCCTCCACCTTCCAGAGACTCATGACCTGCTGCTTTGGCGATCTGAACTTCACCCACCTCCTAATCTATCTTGATGACCTCATCATATTCTCCAAAACCTTTGATGAGCATCTGGAAAGACTGCAGCTGGTGTTCGATCGGCTTCGGGAGCATGGCTTGAAGTTAAAGCCTTCTAAATGCCAGCTAGTGAGAAAGGAGGTTCAGTATCTGGGCCACTTGGTGTCTGCTGAGGGGATCCGGACAGACCCAGAGAAGATCAACAAGGTGAAAAACTGGGTGAGGCCCACAAATCGCAAAGAAGTGTTGCAATTTCTGGGGTTTGCTGGATACTATAGGCGGTATGTAAGTGGGTACTCTACCCTAGCTGCTCCCCTGTACCGCCTAACCGCGGGTGACCCCAGAAAGAAAAAGAGAGGGGGAAAGAACAGATGAATGTGGACAGATGAATGTGAGAAGGCATTTCAGACCCTAAAAGAAAGACTGACAAGCGCTCCAGTGCTAGGATATCCTGACTATAGCTTGCCTTTTGTTCTGCAGACGGATGTCTCAGGGGAGGGTCTGGGCGCCGTTCTAGCGCAGATCCAAGGGGGAGTTGAGAGGGTCATAGCCTTTGCCAGCAGAGGTTTGAGCCCAGCAGAGACAAGGTATCCTGCACACAAACTCGAGTTTCTTGCTCTCAAATGGGCGGCCACAGATAAATTCTACGACCACCTCTATGGGCGTAGGTTCTCGGTACAGACAGACAATAACCCTCTCAAGTATGTTATGTCCTCAGCGAAGCTGGATGCCACAGGCCAGCGGTGGGTGTCGAGGCTGGCTTCTTTCGATTTTGATGTCCGGTATCGGAGGGGACAGAGCAACACAAACGCTGACGCCCTCTCTCGCATGTCTAACCAGGAGGTCATGCACATCCTGCAGACATTCCCTCAGTGGGTGGCTGTCGACGAACAGGGGCAGGGTGTGACACAGGCTACCCAGGAGACTCAAAGCCCCTCTGGCAATGGCACGCATACAGGGGAGGAACTGGAACTCGGGCCCCCTACATCCACTGAGCCTTACAGGGATGTGGGGATGGAATCCCTGCCCACCATGACCAAACAGGAGATTTGTGCCGGGCAGAAAAAAGACCTTGTTATTGGCCCTGTCTTGCACTATAAGAGTATGAACCAGAGACCACGCCGCAGTGAGCGAAGGAGTGGTGAAGCACATGTACGCCTTCTCTTAAAGGAGTGGAGAAGGTTAGTGGTAAGGGATGGCATCCTGTACCGCTGCGTCCAAGACAGCCAAAGGGGAGTAGTTGAGCAATTGGTGCTACCAGAGGATTTGCGTATGTCAGTCAAGACTGCACTCCACGATGACTCAGGCCATCTTGGTTTTGAGAGGACATTGCACATGATAAGGGAGAGATTTTTTTGGCCACGGATGTTTCAGGAAATCAAGGCTTGGTGCGAGCAATGTGAGAGGTGCTGCCTTAGAAAAACTCCAACCGCGGGAGTCAGGGCCCCCCTGGTCAGTATCCACAGCAGTGCCCCCTTGGAGCTAGTTTGTGTGGATTTTTTGACTCTGGAGAAATCAAAAGGTGGTATCGAAAATGTCCTCGTGGTCACTGACCACTTCTCACTCTATGCGCAAGCATACCCCACTAAAGACCAAAGAGCCAGCACAGTGGCTAAGGTGCTGTATAGAAACTTTTTCTGTCGGTTTGGCTTCCCAGCAAAATTGCACGCAGACCAAGGGCGCAATTTTGAAAGTGCTGTGGTAAAGGAGCTTTGTAAATGCACCGGCATCACTAAGACCCGCACTACGCCTTATCACCCACAGGGCAATGGTACAACCGAACGGTTTAACCGCACCCTCATGAACATGCTGGGGACACTAGAACCTCACCTGAAGCACCGGTGGCACGAATATGTGGATGCAATGACACACGCCTACAACTGCACCCGCCATGATTCGACAGGGTGCACACCATACTACTTGATGTTTGGCAGGCACCCACGGCTCCCTGTCGATTTGGTGTTTGGACTATAAACCACTAATGGGTCGGGGGGATATAGCGAGTATGTCCAGACCCTGCATGACTGCTTGTCACGGGCTTATGCACAGGCTAATCAGGCCTCTCGCCAGGCTAAGGGCCATCAGAAAAGATACTATGACCGACATGCAACCAGTCACAGCTTCAGTCCGGGTGACAGAGTCCTGGTTAAAGTGTGTCATGTGGAGGGGCGAAGCAAACTAGGAGACAAGTGGGAGTCAAGTCCATACATTGTGGTGAAGAAACAGCCAGACATGCCGGTGTATGTGGTGCGATCGGAGAATGGTGATACAGAGAGAGTGGTCCACCGCAACCTACTCACACAGTGTATGTTTCTTCCTGTGGAGCAGGTGGGAGAGGAGGCAAGGGAGGAAATGGAGCTTGATGTGGAGGAGGTTCATGGAGGAGAGGTTGAGGACAGTGGAGAGCAGGCTGGTGAAAAAATCAGACAGGAGGAAGAGTCGGACACAATCAAGGACGGGGAGGCAGATAGCCTGGAAGGGGGTTTGGAGGGAGTTTCACCTGAAGCATCAAATACATCTCTTGCCCCCACAGGACCAGAGGAAAGGGACACAGGGGCAGGACAAGGGAGTGAAGAGGGGAGGGGGAATGAAACTGCCAGGGGCACCCCTTCATCTCCCAGACCAAGTGAACCAAGGAGGAACTTGCCGAGGAGTCAGCATCCCCCAAAGAGACTGACTTATGGGTCAAGAGTTATTGAACCAGGGGAGGATCAGAAGAAGATAGAAAGGGGATGGAAGCTGTGGCAGAGGGCAAAAGCAAAGAGGGCTGCAAGAAACATGTAGGATAATACAGCCAGTGTACCCATACTAATAGGATACACACATAGACATTGTTGCATTATACTGCGCATCTTCCACCACCGCTATTCTTATATACATTTTGAGACTGTTCTGTTTTGTTTTGTTTGATGACCGGGACGCCATCACTTAAAGGAGGGGCGGATGTAAGGTAGTGACTGGAATAAGTCACAAGGTGTCACTGTTGAGCTGGATATATATTGTAGATTTTAGCAATTTTGACCATTTGTCCTCTGCAGGACACCGTAGTTCAGTTTTATCGTTCGCGCGGGCGCCATTTTGGGTTCAGTGTTTACTGTGATTTGTAAAGGCCAGCAGCGGAGTCGGAGTGGTGTTTGCCCCATCATCTAAATAAAGAAAAAGACGGCGCGGTCCGAGCCACAAATTGAACGCCTGTGTCCGACTGGTCTCTCTATTGTGCACCCCAATCCAACACAAAATTACACAATGCAGAGTCCGGGGTGTAGGGAGGCCCCTGCACGGGTTGGGTTACATATATATATATATATATATATATATATATATATATATATATATATATATATATATATATAAACATGAGCCATTTTGAGTCAAAAACATGTCATCTTTTGGGTCATGACTAAAGCAGAAATGAGCTTGCACATCATGCTGCACATGTGTGAAAAAGATTTCGTAGACTACAAGATTTTACTGTGGTAAATAGTCAAATGTTCTGTTTCACCAATTGAAACCAAAACCAAACAGAAATTGGTTTCAACAAAATACACATGTCTACTCATTATAAAAGAAAGTGATATAATAATTTAGCATACCGATGTCATTCATGTATGTTGGAACCCTCACCAGTGGAAGGTGCTGGATATATCACCTTGGAAATGCTTGAAAAACGTTTGTGTTCTGTATTGCAAAGGTGCAAGAACCTAAAAAATAGTCGATGTATTGTCCTAAAAATTTCTTTTCCTGCATTTTAGGCCTTTTAGCCACCAGCAACCTGTCGATTAAGACAGAAAAAGACTCTGTTTATCTCCACTGTGCATTGTGAAGGGGTTTATTAAACTTACTTTGCTTCATTTGTCACACATTTCTAGACGTAGCTCTGAACCTTTTAATTAAAAAGTAAAGAAAATAGTTTCTCATTTAACTGAATGTTAACAAAAATAAACACCAAAAGAAAAATAAACCAAGTCAAGGTCCAATTATTGGTTAGCCAGGACACATCTGTCTGGGACAGCCGTGGCCTAACTGCTGGTGTCCAGAAAACGCTCTGAGGATACAAGTTAGATGCTTTGCAGCATATTTTATGCTTAAAATCACCAGATATATTTTAATTTACCTGATATCGGGGGGAAATTACATCAAGACGTGGATTTAAGTTGCAGCGCGACTTGATATACTCTCAACACTTTAACAGAATTTAAATCGCTGTAAAGAACTTTATCCTCCCACCGTTTCCATCTACCCGTCACTCAGCTGGCTGGCTGTCAGTCTCACCTGTCTGACTGAATGAGAGTGACTGAAACTGTTGAGCTGAATGCTAAAGCCATTACCAGAGAAAGGAGACTGTATGCAGAGGTGTAGATCTCTTTATCTCCTCTTTAGAACACAGCCACTGTGAATGAATCAGGAAATAGCCTAATTTATCTGAGTCACTATGAAACAACTGATGTGTGCTGACCTCTGTAGACAGGCTGTAGGTCAGCAGCATGTGTACTGTATATTAGTGATGGGAATTCCGGCTCTTTTTAGAGAGCCGGTTCTTTTGGCTCATTTCACCAAAAAGAGCCGGCTCTTTCGGCTCCCAAGTGGCTCCTCAGATTTTCTTTTGCGTAGAGACCATTTATAACCAAAATAATGCAAAACTATATGTAAAATGATTTACTAATGTAAAAAAAAAATGCTATATATCAAATGTTTATCATTTCTATGGATTTAATAACTGAACACTTTCAGAAATCTCCACTTTACGACTGCTGGCGCTCATTTTCTCACCATCTTACACACACTCTCTCTCTCTCTCTCTCTCTCTCTCTCGCCTTTTCCCTCCTCCTCATTCCCTCTCGTCTCCCTCCGCCCGCATGTGCTCTGCTGTGTGTCTGAGTCTTATCCTCCCTCTTCCCCACCCCTACTGCTCTGTGTGTGGACAGTCTGGACACACAGTTACACATGTTGAACAATCGCCTGTGGCTTTCACCAAAGCAAAAGGGGAGGGGGAGGGGAGGGGACGGCTCCCAATGACGAGCCGGCTCCAGTCGTTCACTTCAAAGAGCCGGCTCTTAGAGCCGGTTCGTTCGCGACCGACACATCACTACTGTATATACACCATAGAGACCTAATTGATTTTCCCCAAGAAGTTTGCAGTGCCTTACTTCTCTGGAAGCTGCTTTCACTACCCATCCCAGCTCATTTTTTTTCATGCTATGTCGAACTTTATCAGTATTATGGCTGTCACTGATGATTCTCTGTACTGTACTCTAGAGGGCCTTTGCTACTTCACTACCCACCTCAGGCATTTCACATTTGCATACAAAAGAACAGGGAAGTCTCACAAGATATCTATAACATCAAAAAAATGTTTAATTATATGTTAGATGAAGGGTGTTCTGACTAGAATAAAAATAATTAATACAAGTGTCAGTGGGCCAAAGATCAGATCTCTATATCCAAAAGTAGATGATAAAAATTCAAATGAGGCATTTATTAATATTTAAGCACAATCAACATCAAGTCATCCTTGCAATTCCAG